ACGCAATCGTGGTTGCAAACGAGGCGATCGGCTTGTTCACCGACGCGCCGGGATAAAATAGCAGACAAAATACATATTTACGATACTAAAACATTTGTTATTAATAAAGCAGGGGGTCATAGTAATTTTTTGACGATGGGGAAATTGGATTATAACTGTGTAATTATAAAAATGTAAATTCTCAAGTTAATATTATCGTTTTAAATAATATGAAATAATATCTATACAAATCCGTTTTGTCAAACTGACTACATATTTAATAGTAACAATCGTGAATGAACGAAATTAATAAATTTATTAAGGATTTAATTTCCTTAAACTAGCGTAATAATATGACTTGAACGACTAGAAGCTTTTTGTAAGTTATCTTAGAACATAATAAAATGAAAGGAACATGCTTACAATATACATGCATTGCATGTATATTTAGATATGACATCTAAAATTACTAACAATATTCTTTCCATTATATTAGTAGCTAATAGCTAACAAAATCAACGATCATTCGAGGATTATATTATTCCACATTCATTTTTTAAAGCTCGACAAACCGGAAGTAGCTTTGCTCTTATCGGAAGTTGCGTATCTCTAGGAAGTTTCCGAATAATCTTCGCACAGTTTTGGATTTCCTGGAAAGTTCTTTTCAATTCGATATAGAAAAAGATTTCAATCTTCGGCAAAGAGATTGCTGGCCAAGGACACTCCAGTGTCCTGACTAAAATGATACGCAGGAAGCAAGGCGTTGCGTCCGGTGCTCCTGCGGGAACCGACGGAATCGATAGGCGCGCAGGCGCACCTCGTACCGGGAATCGAGAGAACGAGAATGAGAAAGAGAGAGAGAGAGAGAGAGAAAGAGAGGTCCTCGGCGCCGTCCTCTGCGGCGGAGGGAATCGAGAGGGCGAGTGGGATGTGGACCGACCGGCCTCCACGTTGAATCCCTCGCGGATCAGCATCCAGTGCTCGTATCACAACGACAGCCGCGATACCGCGTCCGTCCGCGCGTTTCCAGCCGTCCGTACCCCTCAATCTGTGCGTTGCGATCTAATTAATCCTGCAGCAGCGACTATAGCCGCAATAGTGGCTGTAGACAGTATGGCTTACAATTAGATTGTACCTCAAAGACAATTTTTTTCACAGAAATCTTATTAATCGGTCCAGATTGCTCTTGCAGGAAAATTGTCTGACAGTAAAAAAAAACAGGAGGAAAAAATATTTCTTACAATTTTAGACTAGATATATTTAGATATATTTAAGTAGCGGGGAAGAAGTCTATTACGAAAAGACATACATTGCACAAAAGCGATAAAAAATCATAGTGGGAAAGAATCAGTGAGGAGTAGTACCATTGTTAATGAATTAAAAAATAATCGGGCACTCGGATTAGTTCCTTTTTTTAAGCGAGATCGCGAACAGTGCGGTGTTAGCGACACCGTCTTCGACCTCTCGACGGTTATCATGACAGTATTGTTCTCTTGGAAATCTCGTACTGATTTCTCAAAGTGTTGAAAGAGGGTGACTGCATGACGGACCGTTCGGGCGTCTCGATCCGTCCAAGATCGAAATATGTCGAGTGTTAACGAAACCGTCCACGTGCGACGTCCGGGCGTCGATGAAGCCGCGCGAGATGGTAGCCAAATGATCTTCCGTGAAGTTTAAGGGAATCATTGCGTTTCCTCCACCTGCCCAAATGGACAGGCTATTTCGTTGGAAGAGCCACAAGGCGCAGGAAGATGTGAGTACGCGCCGGAATTTAAACACTTGGCTATGCAACCCGCTGTGCGGCAATAAGAGTCCCGGAGGAACCTGGCTGAAGTTTCGCGATGTTAAACGACGCCTCGTTCTCACCTATCCCGCTGAATAATATCGCGATAAACTGCAGAATCGATGCGTAGAAAATGAAATATTTAAAACATCCTTGAAAACAATGGCCCCTCTTTCACGTTCTTCGTGTAATTTTCTGTCGTTTGATGAAATTTTTTAATTTACACTTTGTATTAAACATTTACACATTGTAATTCTTATCTATAACACTTGCGACGTTGTGCACGATAATACGTATTTTACATAATATGTTGTATCAGCAAAGTTTTTTGCTATTACGGCACATTTACATTTGTACAGTTTTATCTATGTCGGAAGAAGGTTGGAATAAAGGTCAACGAGCGTCGAGATAAGGCCGCGATAAAGTGCTACAGTTAAAAATTATCGTGTAACTTTCGTGTCGAGCTCGGTATTCCGGGGTTTAATGCACGCTGATAGTACGGAATACGGGAATACGCACGAAACGAGACACGGGCGTAACGTCCGCGGGTTTCGCGTTACAGGAAGAGCCGGCATTATCCGTGCGGATCTAATTGTTGCGTCGGTTGGCCGAATGATGGTTAACGGGTCGTTCACCACACCCACACCGGGCTTGTCGTCGATACAGTACGAGTATCGGATAGGAAGCATCCAGACGCGTGAATGCAATTAAAAATTTGGAAACTCGAGAAAGACCGCACCGAAGAAAACACGGTTTTCTTTTTAAGAAAAACGTCGAGAGCTTTTCTTGGCGATTCTTTGCAATTCTGTTTCTCATCAAAAGAACTTTATAAAATTTACGTATACATTGTATTTTTTATGTTTCACATAAAGAAAGCTTTATTAAATTTATATATACGTCAGTAACAAACGTTCGTGATTAATAATTTGGGAAATTCTCCCGGATCGAGTCTCTCTTACCTTTTCACTCTCTCGACGCATCTCTCTGGATTATAATACTTTATAAATTACGTCAGATACAACGGCCGCTGCGAACCGCAGTCGAGGCCGTGTGGGCACTGCACGTGTGATTTATAACGATATAATATTGCGAATAAGATATCGCTGGTGATTACGCATTGAAACAAATATTCTATACCTGAAATATATGTGACGATTAACGCACATGAAGCTTCAGGGACATCTAGACGAACTCCCGACTGCTAACTATAATTTCGCAATGCTCGGAGAACAATGCGTACTTGTGCATTCACGCTCCTCTATCGCCGCTGTTTATAAATCCTTCTAGACAATTTACGACGCGCCAGTTTCCTTTTGACACCAAGGTGGTCGTGCGGTCTATTTACATTGTATCGGGCTACCTAGTTTGCGCATTAAACTTCAGTGACCCAGTAGTGACCACCAGGTCGTTCACCATAACCCGTACCTCTCTAGGGTTATCGGTGCATGCCAGTTAGGTTGCCCATGTAAAAACGCTCGCGCGCGCGCGCGCACATACGATTATAGAAGGCACGTTTTTCGTTGACGCTCTCCTCAGAAGCTGAGGAGCAACGTTCTCCTCCGCTCGTCGCTGGCACGATTTTATCGCGAAAAGTGTTGAAAGGCAGAGGCTGCTAATCAACTTCGTATCACCGACTTAACGATAACACAAAGGCTACTTATTTTTATCTTACGGAAGCTGCTGTTAAAAGTAAAGTTTCTGCCTTTAATAAGACTTATCGCTAATAAAAATACTAGAAGATCACGAGATCTAAAGTGGGGCATTTTCCGTGACAACAGTTTCGAAAATAAACGCTGCTCTTTTTTACTCTTATTAAAGTGTGGAATATTTATATTGGATGCTTAAATATGTAGAACTGCATGTAAGAAGATTGTCCGACGGACATAATCAACTCGCTAATTATGTCATTATCGTTAAAAAAATTGATTCCGGACTTATTATCGAGATGAATAATTTATATTGCGGTCTGCCAATTTCTTAAGATTAATTGTCACGATTGGCAGGAACTAATTTCAGAACAATTTACATCGCGTCTCTCCTCTCTTCTCTCTCGATTAATCTTCCGACGATCTACCGTGAAAACCGGAATACATCACGAATATTTTCCGTAATCGAAAATGATTTCTATACTTGACATGAAAATGGATTGCGAGTCAACGTCTATATAACACAAATCTACGTAGTTGCTTTGAGAAATTAATTATGCTAACAGTTTCATTTCACATTAACATTTCTAATATTTGCGCGTGGTAAAATAATTGAATTTCATGGCATTGAGACAAAAAATTAGGAAAAATTAAATTCTTTATCATGCGATCTTAAACGAATTGTAGAAAGGACTTTTTTTAAGGAGTCTGTTGATCCCGGACACAGGCATCGTATAAAATCCACTTCTTCCGCTATTCCGCGGGAAATTGAACGAACTTTTGTATGAGTTCTGTATGAGAGCGTACTACACGATGTGCGCGTATCTAACAACTTCTCTGTAATATGCGAACAATGTATTTTTTCACAATTAACAGTACAGCGCAACTATTTCATTTTGATGAAAGAATGGACAAAATTTCACGTGTCACGAAGTCTTCTTGTGAGTGCGAGAGTATTACTTTCGGTTTTATAAATCTCATCCGCAATCGGGATTGGAAATGTAAAAGGATTTCGAACGGATTACGGATTCGACTAGGATTTCTAAGACGAAAAGGTTGAAGAAACGCCGAGGTTACTTCCCGACGTGAATTCGATTTGAATATCAGCTTTTTCCATTACACGGCACATGACACCACATTTTTCGTGGCTGGCAACTCAGATGTTCGAGAATACATTTTGCTTTATCTAACAATAAGTCATACACGAAGCTTGTACGTGTCAAAATAAATCAAAATCGGCATTGAACGTGAGAAGAGAGGAGCTAGCATTTTTATGAAAGTTTTTATGTATTTATTAAAACGCTCGATTAAAATCGATCAAAATATCGTTTATAATTGTGTAATTATCGTAATATTATTATTTCAGTAAGAAATAATTGTTCGGTGTGCATATCTCTTACAGATTTACCGTTAAGTATATTGAATCGTTCGGAGCGAGATCTTTAATCTTCTCCATCAACTTAGGAATTCTTTAGGAAGACATATGGCTGCGACAGGTCATTGCCCTTGTTTGCCCAACACGCTACGACAAGTCACATTCCTCGATCGCAATAGGAGTGAAGCTAACGTGTTTGCTATCTTTCGTGTTGCAGGGTCTTGACAATGTGAGCTCGGCGACCCTCAGGCCCTTTAACTCGGATATCAACACGCCGAGGATCGACAGCTACAGATTCTCCATGGCGAATCTCGAAGGTAAGCACACGTGCGTCTACACTACCGCTCGCTCGCGCGAGTTTATCGACCCCGCTTTTCACCCGGAAAAGTCACTCGATCTGCTGGCGATCTCCACACGTGCCAGACTCGAGACGCGTCTCCCCGAGTGCGTGGGGCAAAAAAGTCGCTTTGAACGACGTGTGTCGACCACTCGAACTGTCCGGCCCGCCCGATTTTCCGCCGCTTTTCTTCTCTCTCCGCGCCCGATTTTCCTCGCCCCGTCAAGTAGAAATGATGAGAGCTCGCTGACGTTCCCTCTCAATCGATAGGCAGCTCCTTTCGCGATCTCGTCGCCCTGGATACTCGCGCGTTCTAGTTTCATCGTTCGTTCCTCCTCGATTTCGCGAAGGCAGGAAGCGGTTGTCTCCCGTGGCGCGTGAATTTTTCAGACGTTTCCTGCGCCGGCTCTCTCGCGGGCCCCTACGCGGGGATTTCGCTCCGACGAGACATTAATCGCGTGACAAAGATCGATCTGCGAGACGGCTAACGAGACGCGATACATATCTCCTTGTCGCAAAAATTTATTTCGGTCATTTGTTTCCGGTTTAGGCGGTTCGACTTTGCGCCGCCTCTTGGTCGATTGACTGCTGCTTTCTCGAGCGGTAGGAAATTAATTTGCGGTCGACTTTGATCGCCCGTATAATCCAATACGTTCCTTTGAGATATTTCTAGTTCCGATCGTAACACTCGCTCGATTGTTCGTTTGGAAAATCATTTGAGCTCGCGCGAGCTGAATTTTCTCCGTGATACTTTTCATTTACACGGCAGAGATGTGATACACCGTGATGCTGAACGAACCGCGTGTACACACAGTTTGTTTGACTTTTCAACCAAACATTTCTGAACATCCTCGCTTTACGCGCCTCGTAGCGACTCTATGAATATTGCCCTCTCATTATACACGCCGTTACAGCCACGATTCTCCCTCTCGATTTCTGTTCTCGTACCTCACCCTCGCCCACGCGCGCTTGCGAGTGTGTAACTGTGCGAAACGCGATTATGAGCGACGAGGAGCAGGCCGGCTCGCGGCCGGGCAGATTCTCGAAAGAGCGCGCGTACGATCGCCACAGCGCGATCTCCCTTCATCTCTCCATCATTGTTGCTGCCCGCGAGCTCTCGCACTCGCGCGATGCAGAACCTGGGGGCGGACAATCGATACGGTGATATATTGTTGTTGCGCGATGCAAGGGATCGAGAGTTGTATTATATATAATGCGGCGAATTTATCGCACAGAGGTGGGATTGTTATTTTTGCCTCCCCGGCTAATTATTCATCTGGCAACCGCGGGCCTATGACCGAGACACGCGTACGGCCTTAGGCCCGGTTTCATCAAACGTCGCTTAACTTTAGTCCCGGTTTAATTCGTGCTTGTCCCTTTCTAAAGTAACAGTTGGAAAGAGACAAAGAACGAATTAAACCAAGCTTAAAGTTAAGCGACGTTGGTGAAACCGGGCCTTGGCATCTCGCACATCGTACGATGGCGGGGTACTCTGGCTCATCAGCCATTCTCGTCACAAATTTGACAATTTATATTAATAAGTTGTTAAACGGAGAATTTGTATAAAATTTGATTAACCCAGATATCTCTGTTATTTTCCACCGAATAAATTATCTTCGTAAATTCGCAATTTAGTAAAAATATCCGTCAAAATTGACCACTGACGCGCGTACCACAAAAAAATATTCATAATCTTATTATATAAAATTAAATTCTAATCTGCTGTAAAATAAAAAAGGGATTCTCTATCAAGGAGCCGTAAATAGATTATAAAATGTATTTGTCGGAAGATACGTTGAATATGGATAAAAATTGGAGTTGTTTCAGAGGCCTGTAAACACGTTCTTGTTTCTCGAGGCACGTTCTCGCTTGAGAACTACTGACGGTCGGTAGATCGTAAAGCACGATGAAACAAATCCCCACCTCGAGCCGTCGGAATTCTCGTTACGGTATTTTCAGGGCGTGATGCTCGGGTTTCGCGATGCGTGAAAAATCCCGAGACGTGCATTCAATTACGGCCACGCGCCTTGCTGCACGTGGAATACTTAATCGATCATCTCCCGCATTAAAATAGCACGCCAGACGGGCGTCACTTCAATCCGCGCCGCGAAACTACGACGTCTTTCCTATTTTCGCGACTCGCCCGCTCTTCTGGCATTCCTCAGATAAGGCATTCCTCAGATATCGCGGCTCGTTAATATTCAGAGGCCTATATCTCTTGGAAAAGAAAACGTATTGCCGTTTCATCCACTCTCGAAAAGTCAATCGGTGGAATGAATGAAGCTAATTGTAAGCTTAACTTGAACCTTAGTTTAATTTCACGTTTGTCTCTTTCTAAGGTAACAGTTGGGAAGAGACAAAGAATGAATGAAGCTAAGCTTAAAACTAAGCGACGTTGGTGAAACCGGGCCTGAAAATCGCAGTGGTATACTTATGACCGTAAATCAGTGACTATTCACTGTCTTCAGTGCTAATCCACTGATTGACTCTTAGAGAGCGCGGTGAAAATAAATCGTCACTGCGATTTTCAGTGGTACACTTATAACTGCAGGTCAGTGACTAACTTTTTCACCGCGTTCTCTAAAAGTCAGTCAGTGGATTATTACTGAAAACAGTGAATAATCACTGATTTACAGTTATAACTTACAAGCAAACCATTGCTTAAAGTTAAGTTGGTGAAACCGGGCCTGAAAATTGCAGTGGTTTACTTGTGACTGTAAATCATTGACTGTTCATTGTTTTCAGTGATAATTCACTGATTGATTTATAGAGAGCGAATATTTAATATATCTGCTGCTGAGATTAGAGAAAATTTCTTCTACATGTCGAACAAAAATAAAAATTCTATTAGCCTGTAATGAGCTGTGCAGATGCGTCGCGGAGATTTCAAATACGAGCCGACGTTCTTTACGATCTCTATCGCCGACGGTGCTTTCGCAAGCTCGGGGACATTCTTCCGCTCCACCTTGCCGTCGTTAAACCGATATTGCAAGCTCGTGCATCCTGGGTGAGCAACACCGAGTCTAGACGCTCGGGGTATTGGGATCCACCGGCAATATTCTCCCGCGAGAGCCGTCCTTAAATCACGGGGAATCGACGCGAAGTCACGCGCGCACAATAAAGCGCCCGTAAAGCGCAACATTACGATTACGGTAGCACCAGCGCGCCGAGTTGGAGAGACGCGGATCGGCGCAGACGATCGTAAAGCATCCCCGAAGGGTGCGAGATCGTAACGACCGTGACCGTTCGCTCGCGTCGGAAAATTGAACGATCCGTCAACTGGTGCGATCGCACCGTCGCGCGGTTTCGCGCGAAATCTGCAAAATTAGCGTTGAGATTTTTCCCGTTGTCTTAAGGGGATGCTGGAGTGATTCTGCACCTTTTGCCCTTTTTGTATCCAGAACTGTCAATCTATGAAAGCATTTGTGTGATATACAAATTAGGTGGCTGTTGTACAGACCGACAGTGTTCCACCAATCGAACTGAATCAGAGAACAGCATGGTATCATGAAATTAAGTTTAGAAGCGTTGCAAGTGATAGGTTAAGTAATCTATAACTTATTCGAGCGAATAGATTTTTTGTTAGGCTTCTAAACTTAATTTCAAGGATACCATACTGTTCTCTCATTTCGTTCGATTAGTGGAACACTGTCGGTCTGTACAGAAAAGCCACATGATTTGTATATTGCACAAATGTTTTAGCGAATTGACAGTTTTAGGTACAAAAGGTGCGGAATCACTCCAGCATTCTTTTAAATCCGACAGAGAACTTTCTCCCCCAAGTTCGAACTTGCACCCTTAGAAAGGACATCTGTTACTGAGAGAAAAAATATTCTTGACGCATTTATATTTCTCACAACCTCGTTTAGTATAAAAATAAGACAATATCAAAATAAAATCAATCATTCTTGTTCTCCTCTATCGAATTAAAAAAGGTTGACTTACTATATTCAGACAAGAGTAACTTGTATAAATGTAAGTTTACATATTCTTACGTTTAGAATAAATTTTCTTTCCATCTTACTAACGCACGAAGTTGCCACCACGATATTCGACAAAAAACTATCGTTTTATTCTAGATTTTAGAATTTTTCATTTAAGATTAAAATATTCCTTTCTCTATAATAAATATGATTGGCGCTATATCGATCCTATTTTATGATACATTCAAGTGTAATAGCATTGGATCCGGAAATTTTTTCTGTGGACGTGTGGGAACAAAGTTTCAGCGCGGATTCAGTTATCGGCGAGTTCGTCCACGGCGCGGGGCATCGCCGTACGTATTAAATCGCTGTAATTGCAAGGTGGAATTTTTAATTCCGATTATTGCGAAGATACATACAATCGGCGCGAGCGTATCGCGTGCGGCCTCGCGAGGCGATAATCACCGCGCAACGAAACGGCCACGTAACGTCGTTAAATTAATGACAATGCCTGCATTAGCGTAATCTGTAATCCCGATCTGCTTGCGAGAGTTTTGACCATTGTTACGGGGAGAATATCAATAAGACGTCGGGCGAGCGCGGGCCAGTGGTACGAATCGTCGACAAAGTGAACGCCGTCGGGAAACGAGGCGAGAATGTTTAATGCATGCGGCCATTCACGGTTCCTTTTCGCTGGTTTTACCCCGGGCACACACGGCCCGCGGTTTTATTACGCGCGCACGTTTCAACGTTTCCTCTCTCCGACGACTGTATGAAACCGCTGCGCATTTCGCGGCCGCGCTATGTTAACTGCCGCCCGTTAACTCGCGCTTTTAACGCCCGCCTCTAAAAATTCAATTTGCACCGTTTATCAATGCCTAAAAATGACTGTTGCAAAAATTCGCCGCGAGAACCTTGTCGGGGTTTTTTTTAATCCGCAATAGGATTCAATTTATATATCTCTCGTTATTAATTGGTTAATTGAATGAATTGAACGACGATATATTCCCCAGCGTTTTCGAGCGATGCTCGGTAAACTCGAATTGAAGCGTGACAA